CGCGCGCCTGCCCCGCCCCCTACGACAGCCAATCAGGGCCCAGGGCGAGGGTGGGATGGGGCCACGTGAGCCCAAGGCGTCTCGCCCTGAAGTTTCTAGTGGGTCTGAGGCTAAGGTCCCTGAGGCCGCCGAATCAACCGCTAGGGGCCGCCAGCAGTGTCCCAGCCTACTGTGCTGGAAGCAAACCAAAGCCCAGGGAGGTGACACCTGCTCTCAACGCCTTTATCCTTGGGAAGCTACATTTTGGGGAAGGGACTACAAGCCTCTCCTATAGCTGGAATTTACAGCCATCTCCTTACTGGTCTTTCTACCTCCTGACCCAACTCCCCTGTCCCTCACACAGCCTCTATACTGCCCTTCCTAAAACACACGCTCATATCGCACCATGGCCCTGCTCAAGACTTCCCATGAGCTCTGCCCGGCCTACCAGGAGGCCCCTCACCACACAAAGCCCTCTCTGCTTCCATCCCAGGTTCTGATCAGCACCAGCGCTGCCCGCAAACCTCTTCTTGTCGCTGACAAAACTTCACGTCTCCTTGAAGGTTTGCCCTTCTGACGTGGGATTCCCCTACAAACACCCCTCCGTGCCTTCGCAGAGTCCTAGGCTCAGCATATCCCAGCCTCCCCCAGGTGGTGGCAGGGCACAATCGCTGGATGAACTTAAGGAAGCCCCCTCACCGGGGGACATCCTAGACTGCCCACCCATCCCCTTGTCTGTGCCCTGTCCTGACGCCTAACTGGTCATGTGAGGGTTGCCAGATCTTAAGTCTGAGGAATTTTATAGAAACCTGAGTGTGGCACCTGGGAGGGGGGATCTCTCCTTGGTGAATGCCGACAGGTAGCAAAGGGGCTACAGCAGCATGGGGCTGCAGAGATCAGTAGATCGGATCTGAGATGTCTGTGACAAAATTTCCCAGGACAATCTTCCCATTCCAACAGCTGAGTCATCAAGCCCCAGCAAAGGGAGGGAAAAGGCAGAAAAAGGAAATCTATACCAAGTGCTCCAGAGGCACATTCAGAGCACTGGGCCTGGCTACAAGAAAGAAGCCTCATTCCAGGAGCTCCAGGACCTCTGCCCATGGGTAAGCACTGACACTCCCTGCGGACCACCACATGGTAAGCAACTCCAGAGGGTCTGTGTCATGGGGTATTTGGGACAGCCACTCCAGCAGCCAGAGGTGGCCCCAGGAGCACAGTAGGGGGTAGTCTAGGATGTCCTAAAGGCACACTTGCTTGTCATATGAATAAGAGGCCTAGGAAGAGCTAGTGCTGAGGACTGGGGATTTAGCTCAGTGGTTCCGCCGCCTGCCTCATAAGTGGAAGGACCTGCGTTTGATCCTTGGTACCAAAAACAACAACAAAAAAAAAAAAACAGTGCTGGAAGAACACAAGACTTATGGCAGCAGAGGCCTGCTCCTTTCAGACCAACCTGGGTATACACTGTGGCTCCCTACCCACCAGAAGCCCCAAGCAAGGTTCTTCAGCACCCATCATGGGGCTGCAGAGATCAGTAGAGTGGATCTGAGATGTCTGTGACAAAGTTTCCAAGGACAATCTTCTCCCATTCCAACAGCTGAGTCACCAAGCCCCAGTTTGGACGCATGTTGTTTTTGCAGTTCTTGACATGGGCCCAAGACCTCTGTGAGAGCAAAGTGACAAAGGAGATATCAGGGCTGGTAGTGGGTGCCTTCCACCCTAGAGCACAGCCAGCTCCAGAGGGACAGGAAGCACTTTCCCAGGGGTCTACATTGTGGAGTAAGAGCTAGATATATATAAACAGCAGCAGTCTGCAGTGAAACCACTAGTGCAAGAAGCACTAGGAGCTGGTTCTACCTTGGGCAAGACCCTCTGCATCCCCTCTTCTAAACAAGGATACAGAAAGCACTCCTGTTCCACACAGCTAGCATGAAAATTGAGACAATCCAGGTATGGTGGCACACATCTGTCATCTCATCATTCTTGGAGGCTGAGGCAGGAAGATTACAAGTTTTGAGCTCAGCATAGGCAACTAAGGAAGACCCTGTCTTAAAATTTGAAATACAGAAAAGGGCTGGAAATGTAGCTTAAGCTGAAGGTCTGAGTGCAATCCCACGTACCAGGAAAGAAAAAAAAAGTGGGGGCGGGAATAAGTTGAGAAAACCTATGTGGAAACCTCCAATGCATAGAAAAATACTATGCTCAAGCCCAGTGCACAGAACAGGGCTTCAATAAAAGTCTGCATTGTGCCTGAATGACTTACTGGAAAAGGGGTGAGAACTGGGCAAATTCTCCGAAGAAGGAAATGAACGCTGCCTTCCTTTAGGTGTACACCCCAAGGGCAGGAAGGGTTAGTACCTGAGGCAGGTGCAAAGCTTGCCTACCCCTGAATGAGGATAGAGGAAAAAGGGAAAGGCAAAAAAGGCACCCTAGCAAACCAGAACAGAAAGAAAGTCCCTCAGCCTAATAAAGACCATGTAGGAAACGTCATCGCCAACATCATATTCAATGGAGAAAGACAGTTTTTCCTCTAGGACCAGGAACTTGACACTGCTTCTATTCACTATGGTACTGGAAGTCCTAGCCAGAGCAACTAGGTAGGAAAATGAAATAAACACCAACCAAAATGAAACAGAAGAAGTAAAGTTACCTCTGTTTGAAGACACCATGATCTTGTATGTGGAAAATTCTAAAGATTCCACATACATACCAGAGCTAATAAAATTCAGCCAAGTTATAATGAAATCAACACACAAATCTCAGTTGCATGTCTATGTATTAAAAATAATCCAAGCTAGCTGGGCATGGTGGCACATACCTGCAATCCCAGCACTCAGGAGGCTGAGGCAGGAGGATCGCTGTGAGTTCGAGACCAGCCTGGGGCTACATAGTGAGTTCCAGGTCAGTCTCAACTACATAGTGAGACCCCGTCTCAAAAAACAAACAAACAAAAAAATCTAAGCTTTGTACAGTGGTAGTATCACAGAAAATGAGATTTATCTGAGGTGCAACTATTCCTAATTTAAAATAATCCACAGGCCAGGCATGGTGGCACACACCTGCAATCCCAGCACTCAGAAGGTTGAGGCAGGAGGATCACTGTGAGTTTGAGACCAGCCTGGGCTACACAGTGAGTTCCAAGTCAGTCTCAACTACATAGTGAGACCCTGTCTAAAACAACAACAACAAATCCAAAGAGGCTGGGGATTTAGCTCAGTGATGCCGCTGTCTGCTTTTTAAGCACAAGGTCCCAAGTTTGATCCTGAGTACCAAAAAGAATAGTAATAGTAATAGTAATAATAATAATAATCCAAAGAAAATAATTCCATTTAAAATGAAATTTAAAAATAAAACTAAGGAGGTGAAAAGTTATACACCGAAAACTACAAAGCATTGCTGAAAGAAATGAAGAAAACACCAGCAAATAGAAACACATTCCACATCATAGATTGGCAGGTTGGTTTTTTTTTGTTGTTATTTTACTGGGGATCAAACTCAGGACCTTGCGCTTGCAAGGCAGGCAGTGGAACCACTGAACTAAATCCCTGGCCCTTGGCAGGTTTGACATTGTAAAGATGTCAATATTATCCTAGTAATTTACAGATCCAAAACAAGTCCTATCAAAATCTCAAATGGATTTTTTTTTTGCGGAAATAAAAATCCATCCTAACATTACTACCAGCTCCACAGAAATAGAGAGTTATAAGGGCACACTGTACACCACTACTTGCTGATGAAACACAGGGGTCTCCAGCTGCACACAAACATGGAGCTCCAACATGGGCTGCACTGGACAGCCCTGGGGAAATAGTAGGGTCCACTTCTAAGAAAGCTCTCCACTGGGCAAATACAGATACACACAAAGTAGGGTGGAGGTTACCCAGGGCAGGGGAGGGTAAGTAAGGTAATGGGTGTGTAATGGGAAAAGTTTCTATTCTAGGTAATGTAAAGGGTTTGGAAAGGGTTAGGTGTAGTGTTGTGCAACGTGTGAAATAATGCTGTAAGGCTGTGGGTGTCCTACTCATCAAAGGAGCTAAGTTAGCCTGAGTTCTTTTATATGTGTTTTAAAAATTAAGTTTATTGGTACAGTTTAGATATACATAATGATCACATTCATCAAATGTAATTTGCTTTTATGTGTATTTTATCACAATTGAAAAAGAAAAAGCCACAGGGCATGGTGGTGCATGCCTGTAATCCCAGCACTTGGGAGGTTGAGACAGGAGGATCAGTGCAAGTTTGAGGCCATCCTGGGCTACATAGCAAGATTCTGTCTCAAAAAAAA